TTCGACTATAGATCGTTTAATTGGTGCTTCAGATTCGTATCCATCAATGCACTTCGCTCCTTTTGAATTCGACTATTCGCGCGATTAATATTTCTTCTGTGTCCTCGTTTAACGTAATATCGGATCGACGATCCGATCGTCCCTTTACTTAGTTATTATGAAAATCGTCGAGTATCAATTTCATACACGTGAGAAAAATGTACCTTTGGCCAGCCAGAGAATCGTTTGGAGTGGAATAATGAATTTTTGGAATATTTTTGGAAATTTTAACTTACCATAAAATCATACTGTTTACATAGTAGAGATAGGTGCCTGTTACATATTCAGTGTGCCGCGCGTTAAATCCACTGTAGAAATTTTCGACAAGACCCTCTGTTCTTCGACCCGTCCAAATGATTGGCACATGTCAACCGATTACGATGACACTGACAGCCGACAGATTTCAGGGTCTTGGCACTTACTTATTTTTCTTTTTTGGTGCCGATTACGTTTTATCAATGTAGCCATGTAGATCAAGAAAGCTCTGTAAAAATATTATCAAGATTTGAACTCGACTGTGTTTTCCAGTCGATCTACTAAAAGAGTACGATAAACCATAAATAATGTCCAATGCCATTACGCAAGACATGGGCTGTACGGAATATATAGAAAAAAAAGACATAAAGATTTTCCCGAAGTTAAACGACATGATAAATGTTATATCCAATCCCTTTAACTTGTCATAGCCTTCTAAGGATTTCTACGTGACCGACCGGCCTCGCAATCCTTGTACAATAATATAGCTTCTAAATGCAGCAATTTATTCCTTCAAAGATACACTGTCCTACATAGACCAGAATAATCCAATTTCGAGCAGCGAATTCTTACGTGATTTTTTACGTTACCGCCTCAAAACTTTTGTACGATACTAAAGCTTCGCTTTATGCCTTAAAAGATTTATCCTTCTATGGAAATAAAAATAATTCAGTTTTTACTAGCAAACTCTCAGCTACAAGTGTGGTATCTTTACTCCTGGAAGCTATTACATCGTGAGTGAAATTGCACTCGTTTCGTGCGCGTTAATGTTATATTGCACTTGTACTAGAGGATTTATGCTCTATTCGGATACGTTAAGGTCGGTATACAATGAAAGGAATAAACGATGGTCTGTTGTGCTATTAACGCGAACACGATTAGTTAGTCGGTTTATCGTTACTTTCTGGTGGGACGGTATTACGATTGGTCAAAGTCACTTGTACATATTTTTCGGGATAGACCACTACCGCTTTCCTTTCATTGGTTAAAGCCGATGGTTGATTGTAACAAAAAGTTCATTAACGTGCCCAATCACAAACGTAACAGTGTACCCGAATACACGTGAATGCGCAATTAGCCAATTCGTGCGAACAGGAGTGTCGAGGAAAACGAATAAGATGAAAGATGTAAAGAAGCGTAAAGAAATAAATGTCTAAATGCAGTCGAACGCGTATGAGCATTTTTTGAGTCAAGTGCACGTACGATTGTAGTACATACATTCATCCGTCTGTGGGGATACAGCCTCCCCGGGGGGGGGGGGGGGGGGGGGGGGGG